GTGACGGTCTGCAAAGTAGCTGTCTGAGCCTCATGAATACACTCTGTTTGTTTCTGTGTGTGTTTCAGCATCTGTAAATGTGACGTGTGTTCTGAGTTCATGTGTTAAACTCGTTTGTGTGAAATTGTTAAATGCCATGAATGCACCATTGTGACTTCTTATTGGGTAAAGTCAGCAGTTTAACCTGTGTCCTCTGCATTCAGGCACCCCCACCAAGAGAATCTAAGAGAAGTCCGAATTCAGGACTGCATTCAGGACCCCTCAAACAGTTTTAAAGTAGTTTGGATGGTGCTCGAGTATTCTCGAGGGTCAGTTATCGGCTGGTGTGGTTTCCTGTAGTTAAACTGTAGTTAAACAAAGTCCCAAAGGACATCAGGATCATAGCTAAATAGGATGAACTAAAGAAATCCCTCCTGGAGGTTAGGATCACTCTCTTTCACTTTGCAGGTTAAAACATCGTCACGCACACGCGGGGTACTTTCAATGCATTTGTTTCACAATTTAAAGGAATGAAAGGTGGACTGAATCGGACCAAGCTACAACACGAAGGCTAGCTGTTCTCCTTGTGTTCTCAGCACAGCCCCTTTGGACTGAAAACGGGCCCAGACAGGAAGTGACACTCTGCAGAGGTTGTCCCTCATTTCCTGTCATCAGAGACGAGAGCGTGAGCGCTAATAATAGTCCATCTGTTTTTCATTTCAACGGTCCTACAAACAGCGATCACTGTGGGGCGGGGGTGGGGGAGTTAGGGCGTAGAGTGGAGTGGTGGGGGTGGAGGGGTGGTAGGGTGAATAAACAGCTGTGACTGTGCAGATGTGAATGAAGTCTCTGTGTTTAAAACCAAACACACTGCTGTCTATTCACTATTCATTACAGCCTGCAAACACACACACACACACACACACACAGACACACACACACACACACACACACACACACACACACTTTCTAAACAAACTGATGTGTTTCAGACACTTTCATTTAAAGCCTCTTAAAGGGACAGTTCCCTGAAAATCCTCCTCTGACCTATTGTCTGCTACAGCTTTGACCTTTGACCCACATGTTTACATCAGAAACTCCGTGAGTGAGTTTCAGGATGACCTTTGAACCATCAGACTAACGTCCGCGTTGGTTTAATGTGGTCACTCCGGCTCGCTCCATGAATCGCAGCGTGCATGTCAGCATGTGTGAGCTGAAGGAAGAAGCCATCGAGCTCGTTTTCTGTTTAATCTTTGTGTCCACATGTTTACATGTTCACCTGCGTGGTTTTAAAAGTCCTTACACATAATGTTTGAAATGTTAATATGAAATAAAGCCATCGTGTTCACTGAGATTCATATCTCAAACTTTTACTCAACATCCCAGAGAGATAAACAGGAAGAAACCACACACAGGCCTAATGACAGGAAGTGGCTAACTGACCCAGATTTTCTACAGAAAGCTGACAACGTGCGACTGTCCCCAGGATCTGGATCTGGATCTGGTCATGATTTCAAACCAGGACTGAGGAGAACCTTTGACACTGCTTCAGTCTGAACCCTGAACCCTACTGAGGATTTACCTGGAAGTGTAACTACACGTCGCGTCATTGATCGCTCTGTGGAGCACCATCTGTTCCTCCTGTTTACTTAAAGCTTTTCCTCTGGGTTTTCAGAAGTTATCAGAGGATAATGATCATTACTTTAGTGTAAGGACTCCCAGATGTCAGAGAGAGATCAGTAAAACAATCAGGATGGACACGAGCGGAAGAACAAAGAAATGGAAAACTTGTCTGCCCCTCACCACAACAAAGAGCGAGGACTCGGAGGTGGAAAAGTCTCAGCACTTCACTTCTTTGGCCGCAACTGCTGATGAAACAACAGGACAAGAGCACACAGCCATGAACTCATGATGCACCTGCATGAAGCTCTGCACAGAAGAAATCCGGCGTGAGACATCATGTTTTCACGTGGCACTGAGCAGTGACATCGCAGTGACATCACGAGCATTCGGTCCATTCATTGGCTGTTTGTCTGTTGTTATAGAAACAGAAGACGTCACTGCTCTGTGTGTGTGTGTAAGAGTTCGGCCCTGAGCCCAGAGTCTTGATCCAGAGCAGACCTGCTCTAAAAATAAAGTGAGGAGGAGGTCTGAGCATGCACTGAGGAAGCTCGTTGAGGACTCTCTCAGAGAACCGAGGTCATGTGGCAACATTTTTCCTCTCCACAGTCTCTGATGCAAGAGCGCAGCTCTGCAGCGCACACACTGCGTTCACAAAAGCATCTAACGTACATATTAGTGAAAACAGCACAGCAAATCCACACTCTGAGTTCCCTCGGATGTGACGTGACGGCTGATTGGCTCAGGTAAAAGTGTACTGTGCTGGTGTTCCAGATGTGCAGGTGTACCTTCACCTTCTCCGACACCCCCAGTTGCAGGAAAGCGCGTGTTTCTTATTGTTCGAAGCTGAGAAACATGTTATAAACAAGCTCCAGCAACGCACAAGGTCACAAAGACTGTTGAACAGGAGGGAGAGCAGGTTATATGTTAATCTGAAGGTTGGTGCTTCGATCCCTGGCTGCTCCAGTGTGCGTGCCAAATGTTCTTGGGCAAGATACTAACCCGGAGTTGCTCTCTGATAGATCCATCAGAGCATGAATGTTAGACAGAACACACATACATAGTATAAAGTGCTTGAGTGCTCAGAATAGAAAAACACTTTATAAGAAGCAGACAACACAACATCAGATGTGTTTGACACAACAAGAGTTTCAGTCAGGTTTCAGAGCTGCAGTGGTTTGTATCATATCTATCTAATAGACTCCAGTTTGTGCATGTAAATGGAGAGTCCTCTTCACACACTGAGGTTAATTATGGAGTTCCACAGGGTTCAGTGCTAGGACCAATTCTGTTTACATTATACATGCTTCCCTTAGGCAGCATCATTAGAAGACATAGCATACATTTACACTGCTATGCAGATGACACCCAGCTCTATCTGTCCATGAAGCCAGATAACACACACCAATGAGTTAAACTGCAGGAATGTCTTAAAGACATAAAGACCTGGATGGCCGCTAACTTTCTGCTTCTTTATTCAGATCAAACTGAGGTTATTGTACTCGGCCCTGAAAAGCTTAGAAATATGGTATCTAACCAGATTCTTACTCTGGATGGCATTACCTTGGCCTCCAGTAACACTGTGAGGAACCTTGGAGTCATGTTTGACCAGGACATGTCCTTCAATGCACATATTAAACAAATATGTAAGACTGCGTTCTTCCATTTGTGCAACATCTCTAAAGTTAGAAATATCCTGTCTCAGAGTGACGCTGAAAAACTAGTTCATGCATTTATTACTTCCAGGCTGGACGACTGTAATTCATTATTATCAGGATGTCCTAAAAACTCCCTGAAAAGCCTTCAGCTGATCCAAAACGCTGCAGCAAGAGTCCTGACAGGGACTAGAAAGAGAGCAGATTTCTCCTGTTTTGGCTTCCTGTTAAATCCAGAATTCAAAATCCTGCTCCTCACATACAAGGTCTTAAATAATCAGGCCCCATCTTATCTCAATGACCTTGTAGTACCATATCACCCTATTAGAGCACTTCGCTCTCGCTCTGCAGGCCTACTTGTTGTTCCCAGAGTATTTAAAAGTAGAATGGGAGGCAGAGCCTTCAGTTTTCAGGCCCCTCTTCTATGGAACCAGCTTCCAGTTTGGATTCAGGAGACAGACACTATCTCTACTTTCAAGATTAGGCTTCAAACTTTCCTTTTTGCTAAAGCATATAGTTAGGGCTGGACCAGGTGACCCTGAATCCTCCCTTAGTTATGCTGCAACAGGTGTAGGTTTGTCCTGTCCTCCTCTCCTCACCACAAGTGGTCGCAGCAGATGGCCCCGCCTCTCCCAGAGTGTTGGAGGTTTCTTCCTGTTAAAAGGGAGGTTTTTCCTTCTTAATGCTAAGTACCTACTCATAGGGGTCATAGCATTGTTGGCATTTTCTCTGTATGTATTATTGTAGGGTCTTTATCTTACAATATCAAACACCCTGAGGCGACTGTTGTTGTTGTGATTTGGCGCTATTGAATTCAACTGAACAACATACACACCACACACACCAACACAGTGAGCTGTTGATGTGATTACTGGTATGTGAGTGAAAAGGTCACGTCTAATATAGATTGATGGTTTTGAATGGTTTGGGTGGCCACGTTGACTGGAAACGCGTGGACATTCACCCTGAAACATCTGAGGACTGGACAGCAGAGACGAGGACGCCGACCTTGGCCTCTGTTAGCGTGTTAGCACGAGGTCGTCTGCTCATTCATGGGTCATGCTGACCTCCACCCTTTGCTGAGAACGCAAACACAGAGCGTCAGGGTCATGTGTCCTGACGAAGGCTGCGATGAAAACAGAAAAGTCACATAGACTCTCCCTGTGCTCTGCTTCAGCTCTGATCAGACACTGTTTGCCCACTCGGATGTGACCTGAGACGCCTGAGGTCATGAGGTCAATGCTGATTCCAACAGCAGAACTTTATTTAAACAAGCTCTTTCATAACAATGGTCCTCTGCCTTAGTTTCCCGCCCACTTCAGGGATGAGAGCAGTTCATCCCTCAAGTTTGGGAAGCTTGCCGTGAGCGTGCTCACAGTGCCTTTAATCTGTGATAGGACGCAGCTTCATCACATGAAGGCATCGTGAGGTGTTCACTGCCCTTCATAAACTTTATTCTGACATTAAAGGTAGCGTGAGGCATTCACATGCTGCATGTAAGTGAAGGAAAAGTGAGTTTCAGCTGCTTACCGCTCAGTTTGGGGTCGGTCTTCCTGCGGCTTCTGTCTCTGCCTCTCAGCCTGGAGAAGGTCCTCTTCAGCAGGGGCTCAGCCATCGTGCACCTCCCTCTCCTCCTCCTGCTCCTCCTGAGTCGGGAGGTGCTGGGAGGAGAGTGGAGTCAGTAATCCAGCAGGAGAGCAGGAGATAGAGCTCCTTCTCCACGAACTCCTCGTCTCCTCCTTCGTTCTCAGAGCTGTTCTACAGGAAATGAATTCCTCGCATTCTTTCCCAAACTCCCCCTTCGCCCCTCTCCGCCCCATGCTCCTCCTCCCACTCTCCTCCCTCTGCAGGGACACAGGGAGAGCTGCACTGAGGCATCATGGGAGGTGTAGTTCCGCTCCAAACAAGTACTCAGTTTCTCTTCAGTTGATGATTTTAAAAGTGATTCTTAACACCCAAGTAGACGGGCAGTGAGGGTGACTCCCACATCATCGGTGACACTCGTCTTCTTCTACTGTCTAATTCAGGGTCATTAACCAGATCCTGGGGAGGACCTGTAAACTCAACACAGAGAAGCCCTGAATACAAAACCCAGGACTGTGCTGCTCTCTGCTGCAAACCGCTGCTCTCTGTCCATCTACCGATCTGTAAGAAATAAAATCTGGCTGATCGAACTCACGACTCAGCTGTTACGCCCTCTGCTGGAAGGAAACCGGAACAAAGAGGCTGAAGGTGAAACCAGGTTTAGGTGCAGGAGGAGGGGGAGGAGCTTTGGAGGTCTCTGTTGGTTTCTTTAGTTTTGTAGAACACAAAGTGGGAGTGAAAGCTGGAGCGTCGCCTCAGCTCCCAGTGACCTGAGGTAGTCTCCTCACGCTTGCATTCACAGGTGTAACCAAAGTAAACTCACTTCCTGTGTGAGCCGAACTGCATGTTGTCCGGAGCTGAGCCTGTCAGGCAGCAGGTAACTCACCTGTGCTGGAAGCTGAGTCCTAATTTAGGCGTCTCAGCAGGAGGCGAAATCTGTAAATCCTTTATTTCTGTGTCTCAGTGGAGGCAAAGGAGCGAGGAGTAACATCCACGTGACAGGAAGGAGAGCTCCGAGGTTGGACATGGAGCTGCAAACAGAGACCAGACAAATGGCAAAGAGCTTCCTCCTCTTCATCAGCACTAAGGTGTTTGGGGGTCTAGGACCTCCAGACCCCCAACGCTCTCAGTGAGCTTTCCCATGTGACAGCAGACAGCCAATGAGGTGACATCACTCTGAGCTGTAACCAGGTATTTAACCCACTCAGAGGCAGGGGAGCCTGTGGGCCTCCTTACTCACCTGTCCCTCCTCTGTGTTTGAGGCTGCCTCTATGGCCCTCGCTTTACCGGAAAGTTTATGTCGACACAATGTTTCCTGAATCTTCATCGATCAGCTGACTCATCTGTGTGATGGTGACTATCAACAACCAGCACCAAACTTAAATCTACAATTAAAGATAAAGACAAATCGTAAAACATTATGTGAACATCAGCAGGTATGAAATCGCCCATACTGACCAATCAGATCTCAGGAAACTGCGTCACCACTCCTGCAGCTCCCTCAGCTCAGCAGGAGGTCAGAAGTCTTTGTGTTTGATCAGTAACAGAATTTTATTCTTTATCTTACAGAACTCAGTTTTCTGTGAGCATGAATATCTGATCCTAACAGAGCAGCTGGTCTTTAACCAGTCACTCGATTAGTCTGTCACACACACACACACACACACACACACACACACACACACACACACACACAC